GATTGCATAATAATAGCTTTATCATTTTAGAAAAGAGAAAACAATTAGGAACTTAATTTAAGAATTTAAATATAGAACCTTACACAGTATCTTTGGATCCAGGATCATGAAATTATTTAATTCAATACCCCACTTTCAACAATGGATAGATCGTCCAGATAGAAAATCAGTAAGGAAACACTAGACTTCACCTACACATTAGACTAGAGAGCCTATGAGACATATACAGAACTAGCAGTAGAATACAAATTCTTCTCAAGCATACATGAAACATTCTCCAGGATAGAGCATATATTAGGCCAAAAACCAAAACTTAATTAATTTAAAAAGACTGGAATTATATCAAGCATTTTTCTGACTACAATGCTACGAAAGTAGAAATCAATTACAAAAATAAAAATGAAAAATTCACAAATATGTGGAGATTAAACAGAAAAATGAAAAAATAGTCCATACTCAGGATTAATATAAATAACAGTTAATATTATTAAAATGCCCATGTTACTCCATACAATCTACAGATTGAATGCAATCTCCATAAAAATTCCAATAACATTTTTCACAGAAATTTTTTAAAATTCTAAAATTTATATGAAACCACAAAAGACCTTAAGGCAATCTTGAGAATGAGGAACAAAGCTGGACACATCACACTTTGTAATTTTAAACTCTATTACAAAGGTATAGTAATCACAAAAAAAAACAACTCAAAATGGATTAAAGACTTAAACATAAGATAAGAAACCATAAAACTCCTAGAAAAAAACAGTGGGGTCAGTTCCTTGGCATCAGCCTTAGCAATGGTTTTAGGATTTGACAGCAAAAGCAAATGAAACAAAAGCAAAAGGAAACAAATGGGACTACATCAGACTAAAAAAATAAAATCAAAATAAAAAAGCAATCTATGGAATGAATAAAATCTTTGCAAATATGCAAATCTGATAAAGGTTGATATCCAAAATATACAAAGAATTCATACAACAAAAACAGCAAAAACTAGAGCAGGTTGGAGAAATATGGCAGAGACGTCCTCAGTTCTCTCCCCTTGAAATAACGATAAACTGAACATCTAAAACGCTACAAAAAACACCCAAACTGCACACCAGCATGTCTGAGCATGGGATCTGCGCATAAGAGCTACCATAGATCAGAACCCTGGGTGTCAGGTGGTGGACCAGGAGAAATAAAGAAGCTGCCTCTAGCAGCTGCCAGAGCTCCCTGCAGGAGGAGCGGGAGAGGAGAAGGAGCTCCAAGTTCCCGTGATGAGTTCCCACAGTGAGTTCCCGGAACAGTCCTGCCTGGAAAAGCCACAGAGTCCAATCATCAGGGCAGAAAGCAGAGAAGCAAACAAGACCACAGAGGAACAACAGTTGATTTCTGCCAGTCACAGCTGTAAAACCAAGGCTGAGCCGCAACCTCTGACCCCTAACCCAGAGGGGCCCTCCCCCATACCATCTGAGACAGATCTCAGCGGAGCTCCAGGGAAATATGAGCAAATGCTGCCTAGACTGTCGCTGACACTGATAGGGACTGAAACTGAGGGTAGTGAGCGTGATTAAATATCTACAAGAAAATTTAAAAAGCATTCTTACGGCTTTATATAAAGCAAAGATCCAAGAGGCTTAGATTCCACTTACTGGAAACCAAAAGAAAAGCGTCTTCATTGCAACAGGCTAAAGAGAGACCTTTATATAATAAATCTTCTTTCTGGAAAAATAGCAGAACACACTTCCATTAATGCCCAGGCAGAGAAATAGTCCATTAAACACCATGAACAACCAAGGCGACAAGGCATCTCAGAAAGAAAGAGAAAAATCTCCAGAAAATAAGCTTACTGACATAGAAATATGCGACTTAAATGACAGAGAATTCAGGATGGTACTTCTGAAAAAAATTCAATGAAATCCAAAACAACTCAAATCAACAATTTCAGGAACTGAAAAACAACTAGATGAGCAGAGCAAGGAGACTGAAATCCTCAAAAAGAAACAAATAGAACTTCTGGAGATGAAGAACACACTGCAAGAGTTGAACAATGAAATAGCAAGCTTGGGAAGTAGAGTCAACCAAATAGAGGAAAGGATCACTGATATCGAAGACAGAATCTAGAAATAAATCGAAAGAAGAAAAGAGAAACCGAAGAATGAAAAATAATGAAGAGAAATTCAAGAACTAGCTGATACCATGAGGAGAGAAAACATAAGAATAACAGGCATTATAAAAGGCAAGGAAAGGAACAGGGATTAGAAAGCATCTTAAGACAAACAGTTGACAAGAACTTCCCAAATCTAAGGAATAAGCTGGAGCTTGGAATTCAAGAAGTCAATAGAACACCCAATTATCTCAACCCAAAAAGGCCTTCACCAAGACACACTGTATTAAAGTTATCAAAAATCAATGACAAAGACAGAATTCTCAAGGCAGCCAGGGAGAAAAAATGGTAACATAAAAAGGTAAACCTTTTAGATTATTATCCTTGTACTTCTCAGTGCAAACCTTCCAAGCCAGAGAGGAATGGAATCAAATATTTAAACTATTAAGTGAGAGGAACTACCAGCCTAGAATAATGTATCCAGCTAAGTAATCCTTTAGATATGAAGTAGAAATTAAGACTTTTCCAGACATACAAAAATTGAGGGAATTCTCCACTGTAAGACCTGTGCTACAAGAAATACTAAAAGATTTCCTGTTTCACCTAAAACGAAATGACAAAAAATATATATATATACATAATTAGGAGTAAGGTGACTGGCAGGCAAATAGAAACAGAGGAGTGCAACTTTTACTAAGAACAGGACATTATAAGCTTAAATAATAAGAGAATTGTTATAAAAAGATAGTAATGAGAGTTCAGCGTACATAGGAACAAATTGAGATAACAATGAATGAAAAGGGGGGGATTCAAAGACCCAAATTTGCAAAGGGGAATGGAGATAAGGCACACGCAGATGAAAATGGACGACTGCATATATATAACTATCCTTTACGTATTCATAATGCTAACCACATGACAAAGATTCAGAACCATTGTATATAACATAAAACAAAAAGAGGGAAAATCCACAAAAGCCAACCAAAAAAAAAGAAAAGAGACACAAAGGACAAGGAAGCAATGGAAACACCAAGCTACCAGAAACCAAAAGATAAATGGCTATAAGAAGACTTCTATTTCAATAATCACCCTAAATGTAAATGGATTGAATTCACCAATAAAAAGGCACAGAGTTGCAGAATGGATCAAAAAACAAAACCCACCAGGTGCTACAGGCATTTAAAAAACAAATGAACAAACGAACAAAACTCAACCATATGCAACCTCCAGGAGACACATCTGAGCTCCG